ACTGGCCCAGTGGTTCGTAAGATTTTTTAATGACCCTTGTAAGGGGATATGTCCCTTCATTTTAACAATTTAAATTCCCCTTCACCCAAGGATGCTTTGTACCAAGTTTGGTCAAGATTAGCCCAGTGGTTCTTGAGAAGAAGTCGAAAATATGAAAAGTTTACAGACGGACAGACGGACGACGGACAAAATGTGATCAGTAAAGCTCACTTGAGCCTTCGGCTCAGGTGAGCTAAAAACTACACCTGGTATCTTGAAGAAATGCCTGGTAGAGTGGCTGCAACGTTATTGTTGACAACTTACACGATCGATTACGTTACAAGAATGATCCCGCACGATTAAACCTGTTACACGAACGATCCTTCACGCACACGATTGCTAACGCAAAATCACTTTTCTTCACGCAAAATAGTTCGAAATATTTGGGAATGGTCTTTGAGAACTCTGTTGGACAATATTGTGGACCATTGCCAGAACAACAACAAACAATGTCAACCCAGCACCTAGATTTAAACGAGATCCAAATTATGAACCTTCAAAAGTTGTAATTTAAAATCCAGTAGCAGTAAAATTACTAAGAAGTGTTATGATAAATTCCACTATTTATAAGAATCCAGACCATTTTAATTTAGGAAGAAATACGTACTTCGTGGAAAGTTTTAATAATACATTAAATATTTATCAAGACAAAGGAATTGCATTTGGAAGTGAACAATATAAAGTGCGAGCTTTCCTTGTTGGGACTTTGCATTGGAATGAAAATGTAAACAGAGAACATACTTCTCCTTCATTCGAGGCTGACCCAAATGCCCCTAGAAGACTGAAGGGAAACGGAACTATAAAAAGAAATCACTTCATTTAAGAAATAAAAATATGGATGTGCTAAATCTAACAAGTATACTCAAAGCGGAGAAATAAATAGTTAAACCATGTGCAGAGTTTTATCTCTACTTCCTGTGTAACACGTGTTTGTTCTTTGCAGGTATCTATTTATAGCGTCACTCTGCAGTCATATCAGTTGGAGGTGTGACCAGCTGCCTAATATGCTCAACTGCTGTCCTTGTGGATTTTATGCTCAATTGCTGTCCTTGTGGATTTTATGCTCAATGGTGAACCGGCGTGAGTTATCTTGTACCGATAGACGTCGCCACAGGAAAATGCGGTCCAACACAAATCTGATAAGAATGGCAATGATGGCTTATCTTCAGTATCATTCTCTAGTTCGAAATCGAAGAAAGCAGACGTGTAAAAGTAAATATTTTGAAACATGGCATCAAATTGTGGTGCTATGACAGCTCCGGGCTGAGTTAGAAAAGTTCGGTGCGAAGAAAATGGGAGCTTGTTGAGAGGTAAACAAAAGTTCGAATTTTAACTGATTTTGTGCTTGAAAATAAATATTGGGCTTATTGCACTTTCAATGAGAACAAAAATGACAAAAAATAAGTAACCCAACCTTTCTATGAAAAAAAAATTGTGGCTTAAACCGTCATATAAACGAGGAAGTGTCGTTCTTCGTGTATCCCGAATTTCCTCGACTTTTACTATCGACATAAAATATGAAAGAAATAAAAAAAGTACATGTTTTTATGTTAACTTATACATATTATTCTCAATGCTTAAACGTGTTTGGAGTTTTGAAAAATATATTGATTGTTATAATCGTAAATTAAGCATTTTATTTGATTGTTTACAGGCTTGAAGCATACAGGAGGAATGCACATTGTGCAAAAACTGACACTGTTCCTGCGCCAGAATTTATGATGATAACCCCTGATCCCAAGGAATACAAGGACTTACATAAAGACAGCACATTTCCAGGATGCGTGGACTCAGAAATCTTAACCTTTCTGTCAAAATTTAATAAATCTTGGGACAAGAAAGCAACAGATATGTACAATGATGGATTTATACAGTATGTCAGGGTGACTTTCCATGATGAGCACTGGTTTGTAAGAAGTACAGTGAAAGCATCCATGATGAAATCCGTGAAGTATGTAGTTGATGTAAAGCTAGGACAGGACAAAAGTGTTCAGGAATGTCAGTGTGAATGTGCTGCAGGTATGGGACCGGATGCTCATTGTAAACATGTATGTGCTGTGTTGGTTGCATGTGCAGATTTTCTGAAGCGGGGAATTATAAAAACAAAACTAACATGCACCCAAAGAATACAAACATTCCATCGAGCAAAACCACACAAAGGAACTCCCCTAATGGCAAATCAACTTGATATGCCTGGATGCGATGAAGTTTGCAATTCCCAGTATGACCCAAGGCCCCTAGAATTTCAAAAGAATCCAGGATATGTTTCGTATTTTAGGAATGTTTGCTTAAATTTTCGAGGCATAAGCAAAACCCCCATATTCCAGATTTATCAACCAGCAAATATGAGGGCCTTTGACTAGGACCATGACTATTTTAGCGATACATTCAGCCATTAAATACTGAAATTACTGAATTTAGCAGAAATTTCTGAGGAAAGTGCACGACAACTGCATCTGAAAACCATAAACCAAGGTAACAATGACCTTTGGTATGAGGAACGCTGCAAACGTTTACACTCGTCAGTGTATGGGAGGATTAGTAAAGCAACAGACAGGACCGATAAAGTTAAACTTGCCCAGACTTTGACTCTAAAAGGCAAAAAACTTTCAACAAAAACACATTCTTCATGGAAAGAAATATGAAAAAACAGCTCTGAAGAAATATCAGGAAATAACCGGAAAAACTGTTTATGGCAGAAGAATATGTGTTTGTTTGGAAGCCCCACATTTTGCTGCATCACCTGATGGCATCATTGATGATGATACTATTATTGAAGTGAAATGTCCCTATGTATCAAGAAACAATATTATCACACCAAAAACTGTTCCATATATCCGACAGACTGGTAGTAAGTTTTTCCTTAAAGAAAAACATGATTATTATTATCAGGTCCAGGGTCAACTTTTATGTACAAACAAGAGGAATTGTGTGTTTGTCGTTTATACATTTAATGATTTTCTGTTCTTCACAATTGAAAGAAATGACGAATTTATTATTGAGGGCACATGCGAATTACCCGCTACGCCGCGTACCAATTCAGGTTTGTTTGACTTTGTTAGATGGCATGTTCGATCCTACGATAGTTCCGTAATTCCTGCATGCCTTCTCAAGAGGTCCAGAGCAAGTAAGGTTGTGGTAAGAATCGGGTAAGCCAGTATTATTTGCAGTTATAGGTTATAGTTGGAGGGAATGACCTTTCTTTTGATCCTCCCGAGATTGAGAAAGATTGAGAGGAACATAATTTCTTTGTCGAACTTTCTTATTCACGGGGTAGATGTGAAACACGTAATTGTTGGGAAACTCATCAGAAGGGACTCTCAAATATCGCCACCAGACTACAACAACGGGGTTATTGAGGTCAACCAGCTCCTGAATTTTGCATATGGATCCCTACCAAAGGTAACCTTTTGCAAGCACCGGGGTTTTTAAGGTCTAACCTACAGTACCTGGGGCCTGATGGAGTTCACCTATCTACAAAATCATGCCGATTGTTGATTTTTCTTTGGTTGTTCGTCTTTCTCTGTGAAATACATGAATTATTTTAAATTTGGTAGGAATGGAACACAAAGGAATGCAAGAAGAAGAAAACTCGGTGAAACGGAAGAAGATTCGTTTAATTGAATGAAAGCTATTCAAGTTCGTTGACCCTAGGGAATTCAGAAGACCACGTCCCCGAGTCCAACGCGAGAAACAGGAGAGGGCAAGGGAGGAGAGTCAGAAAACAACAGCCGCCCCTTTGTTTTCCCTCATCGCAAATCACAACCCGCGAGCGAGAAATGTCAAGTTGGATTGATTGATTGTATCTTGATAAACGTCCCTCTCAAAAATTTTTCACTCAGATGGAGATGTCACTGAATGCCGGTGAAGGGCTTCAAATTTTGACCTTGACTCGGCACTCAGGGCCATTGATCAGTAAGGGATCTTTATCGTGCCAACGCCTGCCGCTGACATGGGGCCTCGGTTTTTAAGGTCTCCGCTGAGCGCATGGCGAAGGAACAGTTGCTACCCATTTTATCGACTGGGTCAGTTGCGGCCGAGATACGAACTCACGACCTCCCGATCACGGAGCGAGCGCTCTACCGACTGAGCTACCGTTGTCCAGTTGGAGGATTCCGCAAATGAACTGTTAAATGACATCATTCCTCAATGTTTAATGCTTTAAAAACAAAAACCAAAAAAAATCACAAATTTTCATTTTTGTTTGAAGGGGGAGGGGTGGCGGTTTTGGTTTTTACTATACATTTGTCTTACACAGAATATTTAGAGCCTTTAATTACTTTTATACGCATTTTGATAGGCATGGCTGATTTTAAGAGCCCTTTACTTGTAACTTTGTAGATTTATTTCTTTGTACATATGCTCAGGTTAAATTTGCCTCCATTTTGTCATTCTTATTTTATTTTTTCCTGACTGGTTGAACTATGTACATTGAATTTAATAGGGATCGTTTTAAATATTCGTATTAACACATTATTTTAGAGCTAGTTAAGAAGTATGATTTTCATTGGTTAGAGTTAATATATATGTCGTGAGAGTAACATTTTCAAGGCACTTTTGGTCAAAGAACCCACAGCTTCAAGCTTACACTTCTTAGCTCTTAGGGTTTAATTCCGGACTGCTCGTGCAGTCTTATTTTTTAATTTATTTATTTTTTGTTTAAGACATGATCTAAGTATTCTGTAAAATCTAAAGTTCTAGGTCCTTAGCTCTAGAGTCACTTTGGTTCAAGAATGAATTATAAATTCCATTGCCTTTGTTTACAACAAATAAGTTGCCTTGTCCCTTGTATAATACAAATAGGGTGTTCAGGAATTTTCAGTCTACTTGCATAGTGATTATGGTACTGAATGAAATCTCTTAAGGTGTTATTCCAAGTGAGATCTCGCGAGAGTTGTCCAATATTCATTCAGTTCGAACCGGAAAGCCGTGCGAGGTATAGACGTGTTTGAGTGTCCGAGCGGCCGGTTATACGATACGACTTTCCTTGTTATTTCTCCTAGCCCAGCTGTTTCGACATTTCCATCTTCTATCTAGAAGTAAGTGTTTTGTTGTTTATTTATTTATGTGTGCATGTTTTCGGGTTTATTTTTGGCTTTGATTCATTGCTCGTGATCTTACGTCCCAAATTTTGTTCATGCACACATTTCTCGAGTCGCGGAGTATGTTTACTTGTGGTGCTGTACAAGTTTTACTTGTATTTGGTTTGTGCCACGTAAGTTTTTTAGATTTTATTGGTGTTATACAAGCTTGCCTTGTATTTCGGCTACACCTTTATGTGATTTTGAGAATGGGTGTTATACAAGTTTAATTTCTTGTATTTGGTTTAATATTGAATATTTTAAGGGTGTTATACAAGATTGTCTTGTATTTTGGTTACACCTGTTTGTAATTTTGAGAGAAGTGGTGTTATACAAGTTTTTCTTGTATCGGGTTTTACACCACTGTTTATGAGAATTGTTATACAAGATTGTCTTGTATTTTGGTTACATCTTGATGTGATTTTAGAGTTACGGTGTTATACAAGTTTTTCTTGTATTTGGTTGTACACCACTGTTTATTAAGGGTGTCATACAAGCTTGTCTTGTATTTTGGTCACACCTTTATTTGGTTATAGAGTATTGCATTATACAATTTTTCTTGTTTTTTGGTTGCACACCACTGTTCAATTAATGGTGTTACACAAGTTTCTGTTTTGTATTTGGTTTACATTAGTATGCAGTATTTAAGATTTGTGTTGGTGTGCATGTTTTTGTTGCACAGTAATTGATGGAAAGTAGTAAGATATTTATAGGCGCTATGCAAGTTTGTTTTGTATTGATATATATATAAGAATCAATATTTAAATGTGATGTTATATAGTGGTATCCTTTGGTGTTATGGTGCACCACTTTGGTCTTAATATAAGTACATTGCCTCGTGTGTGTTGTTACACTTTTGTGACATTTCGAGAGCTGTAGTTTTTCTGAATTAGTAAATATATATTTTACAGTGACTAGTATTTTGTATTTCCGGAATGTGCACTAAATGTATGTAGAGGGTACAAGATTAGGGGTTAGGCATTCTCGGCATAGTTACAAATTTTGTGTATGCCCTTTTTATGATAATGGGATATTATTAAAATCTTATTTCGTTTTAAGGATATATTAAGATGATAATATATTTTGATCCATTTGGTTCACTTTTTTGCTGTGTGCAGGATTTACATTGAGTGGATTATAATTTGAGCATGTTTGGTTTGTAGATATTTTTATTTTTGTTTTCTAATTAATGTGGAATTTAACTTCACTGCATTTTATATCTATTTAATAGATGTCTATAGTTCTGAAGCAGAGGCATTCACTGTTGGGCAAGAATTTGCTACCCTTAGCATTGAGGTTAAAGGATTTGGCCACAGATATTCAGGACGAGAGGGAATTGGCAAGATTGAAGAAGGAACATCCCCTCACTAGATATTCCTTAGAAGAATTAGAGACTGAATTCAAAAGCCTCACGGGGGAAGAAGCGAAGGAGTTGTTGAGTCTACTTGGAAAGCAACGGGATATCGATAACGTTCGTGATGCATGTTGCTATCTGCATGGCAAATGATGTTGGGGCTCCTAAGTCAACCCCAATTGCTAGGTCATCTATTCTGGTAGAACCTGGTTCACGTCCCTCGACGTCTCAGTCTGTAGAATCTCGGGAGGGAGAAGTGTCTAAAGAGTCAAAGGATGTAGGTAAGTGCTATTTAAAGCTTAGTGATACGAGTTCAAGAGTGGGCATGTAAGTTCAAGTTTTTAATGGTGGTTTTATATTGTAGAGAAGAAAAAGGATGACATTGAGACAAGACTTGGAAAAAATGGAATCAGCTATGAAGGAAGTGACAGGGAATACAGATAAAGAGGTGAACCTGGCATTAAAGAACATTTCTATTTTGGCAAGCAGGCCTAAGTTGACAGCCCCTGCAGTTATGTTAGCTGCGGTTGAATCATTAGTCGATATTGCAATTTCCTCTGGTCATAAAGAGGCAGATTTTTATGCGAAGGCTTTGCAAACTTGTAGGAAATTTGAAAATAATCCTGATATTTTCGGTTTGTGTCAACGTTTGTTTGGAACAGCAGATGATAAGAAAATTTCTTCTGTTGTGGCGGAATGGTCAAAAAATAAAAAGTATATAGACGAGAATAAAGAATCAAAGGAAAATGTAAATTCAATGTCTTCTGCAAGTTTCGCAGGTCCTCATGGGTCTAATTTTGTACCCGGTAGTCCAAATTTTCCGTTTTGGCAATCTCCCATGGGAGCTTGGCAAGGTATGCCTATGTATGGGCCAATGCCGGCTAGGTTTCCTAAACACAGATCTTGTGTTGGTGGTGCATGTTATTATTGTAAACGCCCAGGCCATATGATGGCCAAGTGCCCAAAGTTGATGAAAGAGAAGGATAAGTAGGCCTATAGTGTAAAATGAAACATGAAAATTTGATAGTGGCATGTTAAAATTTTTTGTATGTCATTGTTGAATCGTCAACAAACCTGATAAGTATTATTTGGCTTCACATTTTTAAGTAATTTCAACTATCATCCCAAAGGACTCTGATGCCTTAGTGATTATTTCACGCGGGTTGAGTTACCTCTCCTATTATTTTACTTTCAGATAAAACGCCAAACATTTTGTCCATTTGTTCCAAAATGGGAATTGAAAGCAGGTTTTTTAGCGGATTATGAAGATACATGTGTGGTATATAAGAGAAATACATGTGCAAGATTTGTAAACTTAAACGGAGAGGTAATTCACCCCTCATCCCATGTCTTTGTATCTGCAGAAAAGGTAGTTAACAACAATATATCTGTGGATATGTCTGATTTGCCTTTAAGGGACCCAGGTACTTTTGTCCCAGGAGGCATTCATGATTATTTGCGAGAGTGCGAAAAATTAGATATTTCTGGTGAAATGCGGGATTGGTTAAAAGATGGAGTTGATGATCAAAAATTTATTAAACCTTTTAAAGGTAATTTTAAAGGGAAATCGTATAATTCAGACAAGCCTCCTATGATGTATATGCAAAATTCTGCTGCTTGTAAAAAATTTCAGGAATTTATTGTATCAGAATTAACAGCTAGGTTGAGAAATTGGGTCTTTACAATTGCTTGGTAAAATTGGGGAGGTGGATCCTCCACATTTGGTTATGCCCCTTACTATTGAACCCAGTAAACCTAGCTTATGTCATGATGAGAGATTTCTTAACTTGTGGATAAGAGATTGTCCTTTCAGTTTAGAAACATTACGAGATGTTCCAAGACTAATCCAAAAAGATGGTTACATGACATCCAAAGATGATAAGTCGGGCTATGATCATGTGTTGTTAAGTGAGAATTCTAGAACTTATTTCGGCATTCAGTTTTGGGGATATTACATGGTGTATAGGACACTTCCATTTGGTTTTAAAGCAGTGCTTATATTTATCATTCTTTAGGAATGATTGCAACAGGATATTGTAGGCAGTTGGGTGTTCCAATTTCACAGTACATAGATGACAGGTTGATAGGTGAGTTAGAAACTTCTTATTATGATAGGAATCATGGTTATAGGAAGGCTGAGCTTGCTCTGTATATTGTTTGTCAAGTTTTTACAAGACTAGGATACACCTTTGGTTTGAAGAAATGCATTTTGCATCCAGTTCAGTGTCTGAAGCACTTAGGATTTTTGGTTGATTCCATTAAACAGGCATTCATTTTGCCTAAGGATAAAATCAAGAAGTTTTCAGAGTTGAGGGAGTATTTGCTATCGTGTAGGAAACTTGAGGTTAGAAGTTTACAAAGATTTGCAGGAAAATGTATTTCTTTCTCTTTGGCTATCCCAGCTGCAAAGTTATACACTATTGAGGTCAACAGATCAATTAGTTGGTGTTTAAGAAATAGTAAGGCAGTGATTATGGACGATTTTTTAAGGTGCGAGTTGGAACATTGGTGGTTTATTGATTCTTGGGAAGGTTACGTGTCTTGGAGAGAGGAGAGACATCTTCAGTTACCCCTTTTCACTGACTCTTCTAGGTTTAAGTGGGGTGCAATGGTCATGTTGCAGGGGAAAGAAGTTGAGATGAGTGATTTCTGGTCTGTGGATGACTCGAGGCCTATTCATTTGAAAGAGGCTTCTGCTCTTTATTGTGCTATTGTGGCTGTTCACACTGAAAAATCATAGGGTAGATGCTTATGTCGACAACACAGCCCTCGTTAGGATATGGGAAAATCAGGGTAGAAGGGACATTAGTTTGAATAGAATAGTGAAAGATTTGTATCAGGTCACCTATATCAGCAATATTGATTTGAAATTGCATTATATTCCATCGAAATGTAACCCAGCTGAAGCCCAATCTAGAAAACTTACATTTCTGGACTGTATGCTTACTAAAAAGGTGTGGGAGGTTGTTCAAGAGAAATTTGGTCCCCATCCAGTTGACTTAATGTCCTTAGATTCAAATGTGATGAAAGATGAATTTGGGAAACCACTTAAACATTTCACACCATATCCTACACCCTTTTCAGCAGGAGTGAATGTTTTTTCTCAGAGGTTAGAAAATGAAGAGAACCCTTATGTTTTTCCCCCATTTGGACTCATTTTCCTATTATTGAAATTTTTGAAGTCCTCTGGGGTTAGGGTATGTACTATGGTAGTTCCTTTAACGTCCCCAAAACCTATATGGTGGCCATTTTATTATCTTGTAGGCATGACAGTGTAGTGTTGGGTAGAAGAGGTGATAAAAATGTATTGTTGATACCATCAAAACAAGGTTTTATTCCAGATACAAAAGGTCTTGTATGGGATCTAGTAGCTTCGAGACTTTCATTTTGATTGTTTTATTTTATAGATCTTGACAATTGGAGATTCTCAGAGAAATAATTGGCAGATTTCTGAAATGGATAGAAGATTCAGGTATCTGAATTCATTAGTGGATGATACTAAGTACGGGAAACAAAAATCTTCTTTAGAAAAGGAGTTCGGAAATTTTTTAAGTGAATTTTCTGACATTAAGATGTTAGATTCATCACCAGAAGATATTTGTAGATTCCTAATATATAAAGATAAGGGAGGGAAGACAAAAGTGCATGAAATAAATTGCAGCTTTGTGGGTGAAAAGTTTGGTGAGTGTGGATGCCCTTGTAGGTTATCGGCAGGTAGTGTTCAGTCTATTTTGGGTAAATTATCAAAATTATTCGAAGCGTATGGTAGGGGTAAGCAGTGGGACCCAAAATCTAGTTCTGGTAATCCTGTTGGTAGTTTACAAGTCAGAAAGTATGTGAAAGCTATTCAGAAAGAACAAGCTCAATCTCATGTTAGGGTTAAGCAAGCAAAGCCAATTTTTATTGGGAAGTTAAGGAAAATTGTTATGTACATTGAGGAACAGTTGAAGTTAGCAAGTGCTAATGTAGATAAGTTTGTATTTCTTAGGGATAAGGCATTCTTCTTACTCCAGTTCTTTGCAGGTGACAGGGCAAATTACTTGGGTCAGGTCCTTATTCAGGAAATAAAAGCTTTATCAGGTAATGCAGGACTTTTATTTTGCCACACAGTAGGGAAAACTTTGAGTAATGGGAGAGATAATATTTTCGCAGTTCAAAGAGTTGAGGATTTGATGATTTGTCCAGTTCATGCAGTTGAAGCTTATGTCTGTGCAGCAGAGCTTATGGGGTTAAACATGAGTTCAGGGTATTTATTCAGACCATTGGGAAAGAATAGGTTGTCAGTTTTGGATGGTTGTTTGTCATATTCAGTAGTATATGAAAGATTAAAGTTCTATTTACAAAGATTGAATATTGATGAGGGAGAACCCCCCCACAGCTTGAGAAGAGGTTGTGCAGTGACCCTTTCACTTTCTGGTTCAGCGGAGGTTGAGAAAAGCATTATGGGTCACATAGGATGGTTTTCTAGCCGAAGTCTTGATAGATATAGTGAAATGAAGAATTTGGTTGATGTTGGTTGTTTCCAATTTATTTGCACAAGTACCAAGTATTCAAGGAATAGAAAATGTTTATAAAAGTTGTGGTGATTATGATACACTCCCTAAAGCATTTAGTTGAACATATATGTTAAGGACTATGTGGGTTATATCTCCCCTGCTATTGAACATTATGAATTGCATTATTTTGTTCCAATATGTAAATTCAAAGAGATTGTAAATGTGGAAATGTTCAGTGCAACAAACATACAATGAATTGTTTTGATATGGTTTGAAATAAAGATAGTGCATTTAATTCGATATGTAGTTTTCATTTTTTAAAGTATTTACAGGGTTGTGTAAGGATTGGGAAATTAAGTGGTTTATTTGAGTATTGGGAAAGGGACCACTTAATTGGTGAGTTTGTTGTCCTAGATCTGTTAAACTATATGGGTTTGTTCCATAATACACTGATTCTTCCCAATCCTTACAAACCCATGGTCAACTGAGTGAGATGTCATTTGGAATAAATTTATATTCCAAGTGAGATCTCGCGAGAGTTGACCAATATTCATTCAGTTCGAACCGGAAAGGAGGGTGTGGTTGATGGTGATTTGAATGGCATATTACAAGTCTGACTGTTATTATGTGTTTGGACTTTGCAACAAAGGCGATTCGAAAAAAAAAAAAAAAAAAAAAAGGAAGTGAATCTTATTCATTTGTTCCATGGGCATACACTGATTCTTCCCAATCCTTACAAACCCATGGTCAACTGAGTGGGATGTCATTTGGAATAAATTTAATTGAAGCTAACTCTCCCTTATCTTGATATATTTTTTAGGGCATCACACTCATTTTTTTCTCCCATTATATCTTTATCAAATTATTTACTTTGTTATTACTTATTCAGCTATTTTTTTTCTACCTCATTTTTTATTTTAATTTACATTTTGAGATTCTTTTGGACACTTATTATTTTTGTTATTTCTTCAATTAGTTATCAACTGCAAATTATTCAGAATTATCACCAAAATAAATTCACTGTTAAAATTCAAACTGTCTTCTTATTTTCAAGGTGTTGATCATAACCTAGGAACCTGAATTAAATAAAACATGGCCAGTTATTATACTATTACATAGTTCGTGGTCTTAGTCTGTTCCTTGGTATTACTTAGTATAGTTTAAAGATCAAGTTGACCATTTATCTATATACTTTGGAGCAGATTGAGTACACTTTTCGAACATAACAAAGAAGCTTTGTATTGACATTCCCTCCCATTATTGCCATAAAGGTTTCGTCAATGGTCAACATGTCCAAAAATTTATTTTTACAATAACTCCAAAAGTATTTGAGGTATGAAGTTAAAACTTTTACAGTTTATAAATTTTTTCATTGATTAACAGATAGAAAGTATCACTTGATAAAAAATACTTGAAAAAATAATTAAATAGAAATTTTTTTTTTGAAAATGCATATTTTTTCAGAAAATGCAATTAATTCATTGCTTTAAGTGAAAACCATCACTGCAGAAACAAAATATGTTAATCAATGAAGGGCAAGTTGGACTTGGACACCTCTGCAAAGTTCCCTGTTTATTTTTTCCAAATGTTAAGACTTGAAAGTGAAAGTACATTGCAAATGGCGGATTAATTCTACAGGGGTCTTGTCTTTATATTATATTTAAACAGTCTTTCAGACACCATTCACGTCCAACTTGCCCTTCAATGATAAACATATATTATTTCTGCATTGATGGTTTTCACAAAAAGGACAGAATTAAGCATATGTATTTCTCTTAAAATATGCTTATTTTCTAATACAATTTTTCTCAAAAAAAATATTTTTTAAATATTTGGTATCAAGTGATACTTTCTATCTATTAATTAAGGTCTTCCGTTTCCAACGGAAGACCTTCTACTGATTCTGATGATTAAGATTATTCTTATTATTCTTTTTTTTTTTTTCTTCCTAGACGCCAACTTTGAGGCCTCATATCTCACTCATTTCGCAATGGATTTTGCTCAAATTTTCAGACATTATAGACGGTAATAAACTCTATCAGAATGCTGTTTAAAATTTCAAAAATTCACTTCCGGTTTTGAGTTATTTCCCTTTAAACGAAAATTTATAGGCTTTCATTTCCAGACAAAGGCTCAGAGACTACAAAAGCTGGAGCAGAAATTTTACTGAATTTAAATAATAGAAGCACTGAAGTTGTGCACATCGGTTTTTGTTTTTCAATTTCTGTATTCGAAATGGCGCTATATAGGGGTCAAAAATTAGAACGCCTAAAAGAGCGAAAATTAACACATATTTTCCTTTTTATCTTGAAAACTAAAAATATTTTGTTAAGACATGTTGAATAAAAGTTGTGCATAAATGCACGAGCTTTCATTAAATATCATTTAAAAGGGGCTGGCCCCTAAAATTAGGGATCTAGGGCCCTTGAAAGTTTTTGCTTTATAACTCAAAAACGGTAAATATTTCGGAATGACTGTCGATTATGACGGTTTGCTTTAACATCTTATTATCTCATGAAATTGTTTTGTTCGAGTCTTGTTTTAAATGAGCTAGATACATGACCCATATATGTACAGGTAATTCTTTTCACTCAGCACGTAAACGCGAGCTCCTCATGCGTGTAAACCAAAACAAACTTACTATAAATGATAAACATGGCTACATTGGATGCTAATATTTTTTAGAATAAGGTTCTTGAAGTGTTTTGTGTTTTCCCCCAAAATTATCATGATTATTCACTGACAACTTTCCCTTTTATTTCATTTTTTTTAAATCGTATAAATCAATTCTACTAAAAATGGAAGAAAAGATAATCTTTTCTTCTTATCTTATAAAAACAAACAATATAGTGAGAAAATAAAACATAACTGTAAATCATATACTATTCACAGCCATTAAGTGCACGCCTTTTACATTCACCTTGTTTGTTTACAATTATATAACGCGCCTCCCTCGAGAACGCGGGGCAAAGTCGGTCACCGGGAATCAATCGGCGTGTTATCCAGCGACCCCCAGTCATATACACAAAAGAAACCACAGAATGGATAAATTTAATTGATGAGTGTATATTAATATGTTGAATCTTTCAGATTATTTCATAGTATCTTTGACTGACAATGTCGCTAGTGCATTTCATTCAATAATTTATTTGCTGAATTAAATGAAAGTTGCATATAATTATTTTTTTATAGCAAATGTTTTTCTCGATATCGAGGTCATGATCTGTTTCACTTCAAATACCATCGAAAATATAATCCTTTGATTAATTTCTACTAGTGATAGATTTTTTGTATCTCAAGTTAAATGTACATGTATGTAAGTCAATATACGTTCTTTTGTCGTCGTTCTTAAAATGTACAACTGTATACGTCCCAAATATACAAATATCGAGCGTTTTATCAGTATACATCAATACAAAATCCCACATTCACACGCGCCTCCAAAGTATGTAGATTGAGACACACTTGCGTAACTTATTCCATTGGACAACTAATTAACCTTGAACAAATAATTATTTTCTATTAAACTTGTAATTTTTTGCGAGCAGGTTTCCGTTTATTTTTTCTTATCAGCTCTCGTAATGCTTCATTAAGTTTTACGGAGACATATAATGTACATGCATGCAAGTACAGAACATGCACGTTTTATAATTAAAGTATAATGCATATGCAAGAGTGCCTAAATATACGCATGTAGAGCCTAATCTGCTTTTGAAATACAGACATTAGAGTGAACTAATTATCATGATTATAGGTCCGCAGAGTTGATTATGAGTTGTTTTTATAACGGGTAGCCCATCCTGTCCAGTCATCGTCACGGTTTGTAACCTCATAATTACACAGGTAAATACTAAGGTGTCAATCTATTTATTTTCACCTATATTATCCCCCTAAAAAATAAATTACCGAGAGATGTATCGTTTTCTCCTATCATATATTAATTGACAGTATTTATGAACAGCTGTTAAAACACAGGCCTGTGTAAACGGTAAATCAAAAGAAAGGAAATCTGGGGTATGAAAAACAGAAAATATATATAATGCTTCATTCTCTGAAGATTACGTTGTCTTCAGATAACTAAAATACATGTACAGTAAATTAATGTCCGTCGAATTTTATCTTAATGATAACATTTACTGGTGTTTACCTGTACACGCAGTGTGTCACTTTTTCTAAGCCTTCGCCCAAACGAACAATTTAGCAAATCTTGAATGAATTAATTTACACTATCCCTTCCACATATCCACAAACATTCGCCTATACCTAAAATCTAATAAAAATCAGATTTGTGACCATTTCTTTACTTTATCAAGATCGGTTGTAATTAAGAGATCATGTAGGAGTATTAATATTAGTGTCCACTATTGCAAACAGTGATGTATCGTCCACGAATAATCGAATTTCATTATGTATGCCCTGATACGACGCACTTTGAAAAATTACGCACTCTGAAAAATATTTTCAAAGTGCGTTAAATTTGGGACCAATCAACGCACTTTAAAAAAATAAAATTTCTTTTCAAAGTGTGTTAAAATCGACCATATAAACTCACTTTGAAAAATGTGTATAGCTTGGTCAATATTCTTGCAAATCTTAGATATGATATAAATAATTGAACCTGTTTGATAACTCTTCGGTATGGTCACTTTACGATATGAAAGTGAGCGATTTTGATTTTTCCATTCATGTACTTTAAAAATTCTTTCTCTCTTAATTATTTTACTGAACTATTTTTTTTTTTTTACAGTTTTCATGCATTTTATGTAAACTAAAATTTATTGAAAAATTTTAACGTCATACCAGTTATATTGTTGTGAAGAATAGGCATCTGTACGGGGGTGGGGGGGGGGGGGGCGGGGGTTCACGCATATGTTTTGCAAATACATTATATAGGCATTAAAAATTGGGGCTTAACTTGGGGGTGTACCCACTTTCAATTTAAATTATTAAAATCTATAAGTCTAGAATTTGTTTATGCATTTTTTTCAAAGTGCGATGCCACAATGCCCTCAGTCATGTCATTACAGTTTACTTCCACCTCTGTTGCCTTATGTCAAAAAGTTTTGCACCCGAGTCCT